AGGCGCGGCGTGAGGCCCGCTCGGGCCCAGGGCCCGGAGGCCTGCCTGCCGCTCTCCAGCGGCCCAAGGTGGGGGACGCGGATGACGTCGACCCCGGCTGTCCCGCGCCCAGCCTGGGAGACGGAGAGTCGCCAGGTCTCGGCCACCCCGGCCGATTGAGTTTCTTTGTGCGACAGTAATCGGGTGCGAATGGTTCCAGTCCACCGCGATTTTAAGGCCGCAGGTATCTCAACTGCAGCACTCCAACTTCCTCTAATGGCAAGCTCAGTTTGCAGGAAACCACAGCGGTAGCTCGGAGGAGCTTCCCACGCCGGCCCTTGCTCCGAGCTTGCTTGCACAGCAACGCCGCTGGGGCTCCTCCAAGTCTCAGCCTCACACCAACGGGGAGACAAAGCTGGCGCTGGGAGGGGGAAAATGGCCCGCGAAATTGCCTCAAGATAGTGCCTTTGTTAGAGGAAACATTGGATACATTCCGAACGCGACGTAGGCTTCCAACCCTGGCGGTTTCGGTGGTGCAGTTGTTGAATTACGCTGGCCCGAATGATTCAGCCTGGCAGGGTTTGCGTTTATTGCGGAGAGAGCTGCTTAGGCATTCTATCAACACATATGGCATAAAACGCTTCAACCATAACATTGCACAGTTTTTGCTATTACTGCTTTAAATATGTTAACAGACGAGACGGCCTTGTTTTACCCTAAGGAATGTAATCGGTACGGAACACACCATTCCCCGCCCCAAGTCTCTGCTGTACTTAACCGTGTACGAGGATGGTAATTAGTCTCTGTGTCCCTGAAGTCACTGTTTCAGTTCTTCCGTCTGTGTTCCAGAGATAATTATTTATTACCAAGTTTGAACAAAGAGCTGTATGCCCTACAGATGATTTTTGGCTTGCATCCGAAGAGAGGAGTTGATAAAGTCCATCAAAGAATTATCTACCAAAGTGAGTCGTAAGCTAGTGACAGACACTTGAAATAACTCCAAAGATATTCAAGACATTCTATTAGGGATGGGAGCTTTCGACTACTTCCAGAACTGCTGGAAATAACACGGGTAGTTCCTTAGCGTAGAGTAGAACTGAAGGTTCACAATACCAAAGTGTTCGGACTTACTACCTGAACTGGAGATAAAAGCATTAAACTGGAAGTTAGGGAACGAAGCAGCAGCCAGGCATACTATTGATAGCCAGCTCGTTATCCATTATAAATGAATATGAATCTTGGTCATTGTATAAAAGTTAGCATGTTGTATAACCTATTTTTAATCGTCGTAAGAAAGATTTCCTACTCCACTTTCAAAAACTGCTTTGAGCCTGACCAGACTCTGTGGTATAGTTCTGAACTGAAAGGGTCACTCTTCTGAAGCATCCCAGGATGGCGAGTCTCCCACACCAGCTGGAGACCAGATGGATTTTGAAATTCCAGTGTTGCATTTAGTCTCAGGTTGATTCAAGGCCACTTTAAATCTGGCGTCATAGATTAAACTAAACCCTATACCGCCGGGAGCCACCCTCACCCCCACCACCCCACAGCCCCACTCCTAAATCTAAATAAATAGGACCAGACCAGTCCCTAGGCAAGAACCTGGCCTGGCCCTAGCTTTTTTTTTTTTTTTTTTTTTTTTTTTTTTTAACTTAGACTCCTACTGGGGATGTATCTGGCTGATTACCATTTAGGCTGGAAAAGTACTTATAACCAAAAACCCTTCCTCCGATTCACCTGAAATTTCATCACTAGAGTTTAATCCCTTTGAGTAGTTTATTTCTCTAGCACAAAGCCATAATCCTGGGAAAGGTAATATTTTAAGCCTTTTTAGTCATTTATACCAATTCATCAGATTGTTTCCCCAAAGCAGCTTTTGATGGCAGGGAATATCCAGATAGCATATGCTGATGCCGAGTAGGTAGGAGAGAGAAATGTGATTTCATTCTTGGGGCAATCTATGGAAAGTAGAGAAGTACAGACAATAAAAGTGCCCCCCATTTGATTGTTAAATAAGTCCTACTTACTCATACTGTAAGAATGAGCCCCAAGACACTGGTCTTAAGAGGGTGGAAGCCAGGATACACATCAATATTATCTTTTTTGACAAATATTTGACAAAAATTTATAGCCCCTTTGTAAAATATCTTCAGCAGGGATTCTATGTCTGTGCCCATAAACAGAAAGGTGAAATGACATATGATGAGGGTACTCAATAATCAGAAAAAATGATTCATCTTTATTATTCATCACTGACTACTTAGTTCTAACTCATATGAGCAGCACATACAGTTATAGCTAAATCTTCCATTTGTTCTTTTTCAGAAGGCATTGCATTACAGATTAATTTCCTTTGAAAATCCCCCCACAGTTGAACTAAGATGTACTTAACGTTTTGACTATGATTAAAAGGAGAACTAAAACCCTACTTGAAACAAGACTGCCTTACTGTGATTCTGTAATGATTACCTGAACTCCAGGACCACCTTAGAGAGTAAACTAATAAATATTTGCTAATAGTATAGCTTAATCTCCCCCATTGTGATTCTCTAAATCTCTGTGAAAGTCAGAATTCTTTCTTTGGGATTCCCCCCTTCCTAATGGCTGGGCTCAGGAAAGATCTACTAAAGATAAGCCACATATCTGAAGGAAAGTTTTAAGACACAGCACACAGCAGCCATTAGGAAAAAAGCAGAGAGCCTAGCCACTTTTTTAATTTAAAGGGGTCTCCCTGTCATTTCCCCATGCCTGCCTCGCAGCTGCGCAGAAGCACTGTGGAGACCAAGTTAGCAGAGGGCCAGGAAAAGTTTAGGGTAGTCATTCTCCTTTTCTCCCGTCTCAACACCTAACAAAGAATTGGTTACCTAAAACCAAAGTTTTTATCATAGTGGTATTTGAGGAAAACTAATCTTTGGACTAGAATTCAGTTAGATTTAAAAAGAAAAAAGGTCTAGAATCATTAGATTAATTAGATCAAAATGCATTGTAACATGTATTTTTATTTTATTTTATTTTTTATTTTGCCACTATTTTCTTTAATCTTTTTTTAAACATTTTTATTGATTTATAATCATTTTACAATGTTGTGTCAAATTCCAGTGTAGAGCAAAATTTTTCACTTATACATGGACATATATATATATTCATTGTCACATTTTTTTCTCTCTGAGTTACCATAAGATCTTGTGTATATTTCCATGTGCTATACAGTATAATCTTGTTTATCTATTCTATGTAACATGTATTTTTAATAGGGATTCACGTTCCTATTTTCTTTCATCTTAGCCTCTTGTTAAGGAGAGAAAGCAGGAAGTTAGGGTGGCAGGTGTGTGGGAAAGGGACACTTGGGCTTAAAAGAGGCAGTACATGCAGGAATCAAAATTAAGGATTTAATATTACATTGGGGATGAAGTCATCCCTCCTGTAACATATTTCAGACTTCCAGATATACTTTCAGTAATATTTTATGAATCACAGGGATGTCTGCTTCCATTTGTGAAAACTTCATTAAAAGTTTTGAAGTTTTGCCCCCCTACTATATGCTTGATAATTTTTTTCTGTCCTATACGTTTTGTAGCCTATTAAAGTTAAATTTCTTTCAGATGTCTTACAAATTTTTTTAAAGTATAGAGAAAATAAATAGTGCATGGTGATTATTTGTGTGACCTCTGAAACAATACTGCTTGAATTAGAAATAGCCACTGTATGACCTTGGGCAAGTTCCTGAATATCTATAAACAAACTTGAGCTTCCTCATCTCTAGAATGGGAACTATAATATTTTCCCATAGATTATTGAGAGGACTTCCTGGAACAATGCTCATAAAGTGCTTAGCACAGTGCTTGGCAGACTCAAAAGTGTTAGCCATCATTAGTAGTGCAATTAAGATGCACTGAAAATATGTACCATGCTTCCATCCTTTCTAAGATTATCATATAATGTACTATCCAAAGAAGAATACTTTTTTTTTTTGGTTTCTTTTTCTGGGAGGGGAGGTAATTTAGTTTATTTACTTATTTATTTTTAGAGGAGGTGCTGGGGATTGAACCCAGGACCCTGTGCATGCTAGGCATGTGCTCTACCACTTGAGCTATACCCTCCCCCCAAAGAATACTTTTGAGAGTGAATGCAGACATTAATAATAATTACACAGGGACAAGAAATGTAAAACCAAGACTGTCCTGGGCCAATTGGGGCAAATAATCACTCTAATAATTTCCAACTTTATTACCATCTCCTGTTTCTCTTCCCCACTCAAATCTTCCCTGATATGAATCATACTCTGTTTCAATCATATTACAATACACACACCTTTTTCTAAATCATAACAGTATTAAATCAACAAAACAAAAGTTTAAACACTGCTGTTTATTACTCTTCACAGGCTTTCACTTAAGAACTCATTTTCTTTGAGTAATAACACTGCTGTTTTCCTGCTCATTTAAGCCCACAGTTAGCTACATTTTTCTATAGTATTTGGTTTAAAAAAAAATA